TAAAGCCCAAGAAAAATACAATGGGGCTCACATACCATAAGTCTAAGTATTTAAAAGTTATACATCAAATTAAAAGTTATTTATTTATTAAAAGATAGTCTTCTTAAGTTCATTGACGTATATTCTACAAATAAAATGTACACATTTTAAGTGCACTGTTCGAGTTTTGACAAATGTATACACTGTGTAACCACACACCAATCAACTAAAGATAGGGAATATTTCCACTACCTAAGAAAGCTTTCTTATGCTATTTGCAATCGATTTCCCCTCCCCTCTGCCCCAGGCAACCACCCATCTAATTTCTATTATTATAGATTAGTTATACTTGTTCCAGGACTTCATATAAATGGAATTATATAGTATGCACTCTTTTGTGCATGGCTTCTTTTTCTCAAAAGCTATGATTTCTTTATGATTGAAAGTAGGCAAATATCAAAGATGACTAAATTTAATGCCATTCTATTGATGGACAGTAATATGTGAGTAAAAATATATGATTCATAATTGATTTTGTATTTCATAAAATTTTTTCTTGCCTTCATTTCAGCAAAATCATGTTATGTTGTTTTTTTTAAGTAATTTTTTATGTTTTAATTACAGTTGACATACAATATATTAGTTTCAGGTGTAAAACATAATTATTAGACATGTATGTAACTTATGAAATGATCACCCCTGATAAATTCATACCCATCTGACACCATACATAGTTATTACAATGTTATTCCTATGTTATATTCCCTATGTTAGTTTACACCCCAATGACTATTTTGTAACTACTAATTTGTACCTCTTAATCCCCTCCCTCCTCAACTCATTCCCCAACTCCCTTTAACTGAACAACCATCAAAATGCTCTCTGTATCTATGAGCTTGGTCGTACAGATTAAATAAGAAAAAATATACATGGAACTTAGCAATAATAGTGACTATCTTATAGAGCTGGAAAGGATTAAATAAAATTTATGAAGTGCTTAGCATAGTCACAGTGCTTGAGACTGTTGTGAACCACACACTATGCTACTCAGGGAAGATGGTTTGTCTATTTTAATTACTGAACAGTATTCCAGGATTGGATGAATACACCACAGTATATACATTCTCTTATTGATAGACAACTGAGTTATTTCCAGTTTGGGAGTATTATGAATATAGTTGCAATGAACTTTGTTGTACAAATATTTTGTGGTGTAAATGTTTTTGTTTATCATGGATAAATTTGTAGGGTTAAAACTGGGTAATATAATAGGTGTATGTTTAGTTTCATAAGAAATGCCAGACCTTTACCAAAAGTGTTTCTACCACTTTACACTGCCACTAACAATGTATGAGAGTTCTGGTTGCTCCACAACCTTGCTAATACTTGATGTTTTCAGTATTTTTAATTTTAGCCATTCTGGTGAATGTGTAATGGAATTTCATTGTGGTTTTAATTTACATTTCCCTGGTGTGAAGTAAAAGTAGACAGAAAAAAGAAAATAGAGAAATAATAAACAAAGAATACACACACACACACACACACACACACACACACACACACACACACACAGAAAGAGAGAATCAGGCTTAAGCCTTTGTATGTCAAAATTACATTAAATCTAAATGGACTAAATATACAATTTAAAAGACAGAGATTGGCAAAGTGGAAAAAAAGAAGAATGACCTAACTATGCTGTCTAAAAGAAACTCACTTTAAATATGACAATAAAGGCAGATTGAAAGTAAAAGAATTTTAAA